TTATGGGACAAAGATAATAGGAACGTTTTGAGAGTTTTCCCACCTCTTGATTTTAACTTAACTTCTTTCTTGCTTGTTATTTTATTAGAATGAAAATCCCCTTTATATAAGAGGGTTACAAAGACTAGTAAAACATAAAAAGGAAAGAAAGACTAACTAAAACATAAAAAGGAAAGGAGAATCATTAAAGCTCCTTACCCTAATTATTTGCTATCTCTATAGGAAATAAATCAATTCTAATAGTAAAGATAATAATTCAGTTCTAATAATAAAGATATTCCCTTAATCATCATATCACCCTCTCTAACGGTCAATCTAACAAGGATATTGACGGAGGACCAAAATTGTCCTCGTCACAATAAGAGTGTCCACAAATTGTCTGATTTTTTTAAGAAGGACTAAAATTGTCCATGCCACTATAAGTCTAGGACTGAAAATGTCTTTTACTCTTTTTTTTTTTTTTTTTTGAATGCTACTGACTCTATTACAATGTAGTATCTGTTCATATATTTTCTCAACCTACTGAAACACAAAGAGCCAATAACGCCTCCGTTGAGGCTCGAACTCACAACCTTCCAAATGATCACATAGTCTTGGTAGTAGCATATGTTTGATTTAAGCTACCTGAAAGTGTTCTTAGGTGAAACTCGACTTATGATTTTAGTCAATAAATGATCAATAAAGATAAATCAAGCTAAGTTAATCATAATTGACTAGTTCAAACCAAGAAAACTAATAGACATTTCTTACAAAAAATTAAACTTTAAAATTTTATAATTATCAAACTAATTTTTGAATCTCTGAATTGCTTGTTACATATGCTTTCTAGAAGATCAAATGCAGATTTCAATGCTGTTATGACAATAAATGGTGATAGTTACTGCCTACAAAAGGATAACAACAAAACGCTAGCAAGGTCTCGTGGAGGTGGTCCACCCAAGTTGTATCTTCTTTCAACTGATTGTTGGTTGTGTATTAAAGTCAATTAAATTTATAAAGCCTTACATCATTCAATTTATGCCTAGAATTTAAAGGCTAAAAGATAAGTTCAACTACCATACTTTAAAGAAATAAGAAGAGTTGTCCGCTCTTATAGGTGAAATTTGGAAAGAATGACCAAAGATCAAGTCTCACCAGCTACAGCGTGGGAGTAATCTCTTAAAGTGAAGGGACTTCTTGTGTGCAGTGAGCAAAGGTCTAACCTCTGTGGCTCAGTTGAGTTACATATCATGATTTTCATCCTCCCAGATACTTTGTCAGGCCGGGGTTGGGGACTCAACCTTTTGAGAAGAAGAAATAAGAAGAGTTAGTTTTAGCGGAGGTCCTTTGTTTTAGTGACAATTTTAAATTCAGTTCAAGATTGTTATTTTTGTTATTTAACATAGCTTAAACTATTATAATTTGAACACTTTTGATTCTTCCGATTTTTTTTGGTGAATTTTTTTTTTTCCAATGAGTTAATTGGTCTTTGTCTTTGGTAGAAATTTTAAATTTAGTCTCATATAATTATTTTTGCCATTTAACAACCCATATTATCATATTTTGGACATTTATGGTCATTTTGATGACTTTTTCTAGTGAAATCTTATTTTAGATAAGGAGATTTTTATATTTTCAATTTTTTTTTTTGGTTTTCTGCACCGGGTTTTTTCTTTCGATTTTCGTCTCTTCAACCGTGGATTGCACCATCTCCTTCAACTCGACCCCAAATCGTCCTTCATCAATGACGATACCAAGTACGTGAGGACCTCTTGGTGCGGGAGAATCATTTTGCAACTTAGTTTGAAAGCTTAGGATGTCGCCACCCGGTCGCCAAGAAGAAGAAGAACCAAAATACTTTTTCCTGAAATAGGGTTCCACCAGAAAAAAAAAATCATCGGAAGGACCAAAAGTGTCCAGAATATGACAGCCTTGAGTGTTAAATGACAAATACGATTGTTTGTGACTAAATTTAGAATCGCCACCAAAGACAAGGGACCTTCGCTAGAATTAACTCATTGGAAAATAATTAAAAAAGGAATTGAAGAGACGAAAATACATTTGCCTAAAATAGGGTAAACCGGAAAAGTCATCTAAAATACCAAAAGTGTTCAAAATATGATAGTTTGGGGATAAAACAAAAACGATAATTTGAGACTAAATTTAGAATTATTACAAAAAACAAGAGACCCCGACTGGAATTAACTCAAATAAGAATAACAACCTTCAAAAAAAAAAACAACCTTGAATATATAATTTTTTTGGGATATTATATTAATTGGTTTCAACATCTCACAAAACGAGTTTAATTCAGTAGAATCTTGGTTGAGCCTGTCAGGATTTTTTTTTTCAAGAGTGTTGCTGCATATGTGTGTGTTTGAACCCCTCCTCATGCTCTAACAATTCAAGTACTTTTCCACTTAGGGTGTGTTTGGAAACCTGGAAAATGAGTTCTGGAAATCATTTTCCAAGTTTCCATTGTTTGGATGTGCCTGGAAAATCAAGTCAACGGAAATCATTTTCCGTTGACTTTGGAAAATAGGCTTATTTTGGAGAAAAAGACTTCCCCTTTTTTGGGGGAAGTCATTTTCCAACTTTTACACCAACATCACACCACCACCAACATCTTCAACATCATACCACCACCACCTCACTACCACCATCACCACCACTACTGCCGCCGCCGCCACACCACCACCGCAACCACTACCACCACCAACATAAAATCTAGAAATACTACTTCACATAAAATTACTTTCAAATTCGGTAAAACTCAAACCCCTAATTTTATTTCACTTAGCCATTTGGACAAGCCATCATCAATGCACAGAAACTTGTAGTCTTGTACTAAGTTTTGATTTTCAATCAGGTCTAAACTCTAATTAAACATGGCCTCACCATATATATCAATTCTACTACTATGGTCATAGGGTTTACATTCCTCCATGGAAATCCCTCTAAAATCCATTGCCTAAATTAAGAAGTATTATGCATTTAATTAAGTGAATGTGTAAAGACCTGGTTAAATTAAGATGGCCAGTTAGACAGCCATGAACCACACAACTGAAGTAATAAATAAAATAAGCAACAAAAAATAATGATGATCTGATGACCTTCTCAAGGTTGCTTTGTTTTATGTAAAATGTTTCTTTAATCTTGTATTGGAAAAAGTAATTCTTTGTTTGTTGTGGATCATCAACATCTTGAATATTATTAAAGTTTCTTTCAAAAGTTTTATAATCATATCAGATGCTTAACTATATATGTTGTCATCTGAGATAGCTGATCACCACCTAGTTAGTATACAAGGAATAGTGCAATATTATACAACTCCATCTACACAAAACCAACATACTGATATATAATTATTTCTTTATTTATTCATTATAAAAATTATAATTACAATTATTATTTTTATTATATTTAAATTAAACATGTAAAAATTAAAATAAATTTATAATTATAAAATTTCAATTCAAATAAAATATATTATTAAAATTATACGGAGTATATTAAATTTAAAAAATGAAGTTGCATATTTATTTTTTTAAACAAAAAATAAAATTAAAAATAATAAAGAAAAAACTCATGTAATTAAAAAAAAAAAACAAAAAAAAAAAAATAAAAAAAAAAAAACAAAAAAACAAAACAAAAACAAAAATACTCACCAAGTGGCTTGTGGTCCATTGGTATTCAATTGATTCCTTATGTGGGAGGTTTGAAGTTTGAGCCTCGGAGTAAAAAAAGGGTGGCGGTTGCATATAGCAATGAGCCAACGACCACCATAATTGAAAAAAAAAAAAATACAAAGAGTTTGAGTTTGTCCCTTAATATTCCCTATAATAAAGAACTTTGAGTTTGTCCCTTAAGATCATTTAGCCTTGCCGTGGGTAATTTGGTGAAGATGCTTGCCAGTTGGTCTTTTTGTAGAGATGTAGTTTTCTTGTAATTCCTTTAATGCTACTTTATCACGAATAAAATAAAAGAATCCTGACCGACCAAATTTTCGATTGTAGGATTGACTTTAACAGAACACTCATCGGGAGCGCAGCTACAACGGAAACTCATCCGGAGCGCAACTATAACGGAGCGCTCACCTGAAGTGCAACTACAACGGAACACTCATCCAGAGTATGGGTACAACGGGACACTCATCCGGAGCCTTAATAAATGAAGTCGGACACAGAAATGTGCCTTCAACTTATCTATTGAGATGATGAGCGGTATTTATCAGGGTTGTGGTTGGATAGACAATATCGAAGGATGAGAGAAGAGGAGGTTGTGTCACTGGCCGACGGTGGTTTTTTTTTTTTGGTAGGGTTTGTAACCATGGATCGTTTGGTATTATTGATCAATCCATTGATGATATAAAGTACATGATGAAGAGATGTATTTATAAGGATACAATGAGTCTGAATAAGGAAATCAGCTTGGTTGGCGTGAGTGGTCGAGCACTCTTATCTCTTATGATTATGAGAGGATGAGAGGACAAGAGTTCAAACCCCCTTTCGTATGGAAAACCCAATTGTTATGCTGAGCACGTGTCCATCTATATCCATAATTTCTAGATGCTGTGAGCGCGTGCCTACCTTGCATGGTGCGCACGAATCTATATCCATAATTTCTAGACTCTACTTCTACTTCAAATGGAGATTAACCTGAGTAAGTGGTGTCACCGGCCGGTCAGGATAGGAATAGTAAATGATTATAAAAGGGGGACAAGAAATTCTTGTGTGTATGAATGGTAAATGATAATAAAATATCAATTTTAAGTATTTTAGATGTTATTTTGTGAGTTTTTCTTTACTTAATATTTCTTTAGATATTTGAAGCTTCATTCAATTATAGAAACAGAATTACACAACCAATGGACGGTTAAGTCACTATAATTACCCCCACTATCCAATCACGCTAAGATGTGGGACCATCGGGTCAAGAAAATTTTACTTTTTGTAGACAAGAATTAGGAATTACACAACTACAAAAAAGCAGGATCCAGGAAGAATTGCAAATGCAGAGAATAAACATAAGACTTCCAAAGATTTATAACATAAATTCAAGTATTGTCTTGCCAAATGCACAAAGTAATATTAGTTTTGGCTGAGCCAATAAATGCTGCCTCTAAAAACAAGAAAAATTGTTTTCTACAATGTAAGTTTTTTCTTGAATCTGAACTCTTTTCCCTCAGTGAGGAAGTCATAGAAGATCTGCCTACACAAATACCCAGAATGTTTTTTAGCTGGACAGGCACAGGCTTGTCCACTATACCAATGAATTACTTCAACTAGCAACTTGACAAAAAATTAAATGTTTGCCTGTACAGAGAATGAGCAATGGAATCAATCTGAGATGATATGATCAAAATCAGGGTTAAATTAAGTAGCTGTTTCTCCAACCTTAATGCCAAAGCATACTGCAAAACCCATTGCGAGGCCTCTTAGAAGATACGATGTCAGAAAACGAATCAACCAGTTGTCCGGCTAAGCTACTTGGATCGTCAATTAGTGTTTGTATAAACGTACTAACCACCCTGCGTTCCTGTTCCGTTGATCTCAGGCTAAACCAGGTGAGCAGTTGTAATCTGAAGTCCTTGTTGATGTGGCCCTCGCATTCGAGCCAGCGAATGATCTTCACACAGTATTCGAAGGTGTCATCCAAGCACCCCGAAGCGTTGTGGAGTTGGATAGGCGATCCGTTCATGAGAGTGCTGTCGGAGTCGTGTGGGTCAGCGTAGTTGCTAGCGGCTCTCTTTCGAGACGCTGCCACCTTAGAGTCGACGGCTGTTGCTTCTCCGGTCTGTGGATGGATCCAGTTTTGGGAGTCACCGCTTCCATTGTTGCATAGATTGTCGTGGGAGACGGCATCGTCTGCCTCGACCGTTTGCCTCAGAGTGCACTCGTCGTTATCTTCGTCTCGAGAGGAATCGATGGGAAGGATTAACTCTTCGTTCAAATCGGGAACTGAAGCCACGTTTAAGTCGAGCTGGCGAGATGCAGAGGGTTTATGGTGGTCTTGTTGTACACTCTCGGGTTTGACTATATTACACGCTTCACAGCACTTTCGTATTTCTACTCCACAGAACCCATCTAAACAGCCTTGCTGTTGAGCCCACGCCAGTCTTAAGATCTTCCCAAGATCTCGAACCTTAAACCCAGAATCCGACTCAATTCTCGTTGTAGCCTCGTGGTCGTCTTCCTTTCCACTTCCAGTATCTAGGCTATCCTTCCCATGATTTCCAGCTATCGAGCTCAAATTTCTGTGAATTATCTCGACGCTCTTTGTAAAGCATTTAGCCTCGGAATGTCCCAAGTCGCTGGAATCCGTGTAGGAGACAATCCTGAAGGAGTATTCCGTGCAAGGCTTCAAATTCGATATCAAAACCCTTCGCTGATTCCTGGGAAAGACACAAACGGGCTCTTTTGCGTGAGTATCTTCCCTAGCCCGACAGTACCAAAGCTTGTAGCCTTGGACACGTTCCGATGATGAACTCGACAGCTCTATCAATACAATCACCACTGAAGAAGACGTCACTTCCTCAAAAAGGAATTTGCAGGCTGCTGGCAGTGAACCCTCTAGAAAAAGTGCAAAAAAAACAAAAAGACAATGAAAAATGGTCTTCACGGTAATTCATTGTATATCAGTGTTGCAAAAATCGCGCCTAGGCGCCAATTAGCGCTAGGTGGTCGGCCTCCTAGGAGCTCTAGGCGGTCCCCAGGCGCCTAGAGGGTGCCTAGCGATTTTTTCAACATTGTTGTATATCATAATATAGAAAATCTCTAGTACCTCTGCAATTAGGGACAACGCTCGACTTTGTGTCAAGCCATTCATCGGCTTTCTCAATAGCACGAGAGCAGAGAGACTGCACATCACCCGCAACAGAAAGCCTGCTAACAATGCCTCGAGCCATATTTGCTGAAACTCCGCCCAACGGACCCACCTCCGTTTCCAATTTGGCTTTGGCTTCTATAATGATTTCATGTAGTTCTTTAAATCTGGAAGTTCCATCTAGGAGTCTGTAACTCAAGTATATTCTGTAACACAGGATATCAACACGACGAGCATCTTTTGCTATGCTAAGTTGTTTCTTCCAGTATCTGCAGAAATTCGGTAATAACAGGAAAAGGACTCAAAACCAGCTAAAAACAAAAAAGCTAGAATTCCAACATTCAACACACGATGCCAAACAATTCAATTTAAACCCATGTACTAATAATTGGGCATCAGTTTCTGGCCATCACCATATGAAGAAAAGGAATAACTTGCACAATCAATCTTACAAAAATCAATTCTAGAGGGGCAAAGTTATATGAGAAAAGAGAGTATTGCAGTCAAATATTATTCTTCCGGGGAAGAGTAGTGTATACAGCCCCATTCATCCCCCATCCCCTCTTTAGTGCAGAGGTTCACAGGACACAATGAAGATTCATGTAGTCATGTGTCATTGTGCCCAGAAGTTTTTCCTGGTTTGCCTATGGGTTGAAGGAGGAGAGGTGGACAGCAGGGGAGAAAACAGGACACAGGTGTTGAAAAGTGATTGTAGGTAAAGGATCTTTTTTTTTGTCAGGCCATGAGGTGTCCTGAGCAGGCCCTAACTGTAGGAGGTACCTTCTCAGACTAATCCCCATTCGCACCGGGCCAGCCCAATTAAGAGGCAAAGTGCTGGCCAGATTGGTTTTCCATATGAGAAGGGGCTCGAACTCCCGACCTTTCTTAAGGGATGAGAGTGCAGTAGTGCACCGGCCACTCACGCCAACCAAGCTGGTTGTAGGTAAAGGATTTACCTTAGTATTCCTGAAACTTTGCCACACGAAGCACAGCAGTAGCTCCCATCCAGCTGCATAAGTTGTCCAAGCTCAACAACCCCTACCTTTCCTCGCTGGAGAGCACACTCAATATGGCAAGTTAAGCCACAGGATTCTCCTTGACCAGACTCTGATGTGCATTCCAACCAAAGACTTGGGTCCTTGTTATCATCGAACAAGTGGCAGATGCAGCACGAGCATCTCTTACAGAATGTGTCATCCATTGAAATAGTTGCTCGGCAAGCAGAGTTTTTACAGATCCATGAATTTGAACATTTAACATCTGCACAATTGCCAGCGGCTGGAGGTATTCGGACAGGATTTTCGCCCTTCCTTTGCTGCTTTCTTGAAGGATGATGATCTCTGGGGCTAGAAGACGGCCTTTTTAGCTCCTGACCCTTCAACATTTTCTTGCTTGCCTTTGCTGGATGCTCGATCATTTTGAACGTTGATGAAGCCAATTTCTTCTTTTCCTTATTGAAGCTTAGATGAGAAAGATCTTTCACTATAGTGGAGTTCAGGGATTTTTGGAGTGAATCTGGACTTCTGGATGAATCATCTGAATTTCCATTTTTCTCTGGAGTGCTCTGGACACTGGAAGAAAGACTTTGAATACCTGAAACCGAAATAAAAGATGTCACAGATAGTCTTGGATATCAAAGTGTATTCCATACCACCTATTTATAGCAATTTCATTGAAGATAATGTTCTGATATGCAATGGAATTTTCACATCACATGCAGAATATTTGTACAACTTGTTGGCACCCAAAATCAGATTCTGTGAATAGTTAATAAGTGGTGCAAGATCCAAACAAAAGTATGTTACATCACTTCCTAAAGTATTCCTTTGGCCAACTCATTTATTTCTTTTTTTCTGCATAAAGTGCGTAAACGAATGATTGATGAAAAAAAGGGTTAAACAAGATTTAAAAGAGAAAAATAAAGCAAATAGTGGAGCTTCCAGTTGTGCCTCACTTAAAGTGAGATGGGGAAATATTTTCTGAAATACATACATGCAAGAGTCCCCACCAAAGCCGAAGATTTGGATTAGAGATATAAGTCTGAATTATTTTCAGAAATTCTACAACGGAAAAATTATAACCAAAGATTAGGTTTTCCTACCGGCTAACACAAAGTTCTATTTGCCTAAATAATCAAAAACATAAATTTTAAAATACTTCTTCTAGAAGTTAATTTATGTTGGCTACTGAGAAGTGAAAAGTGACCACCAAAATTAGACAAAAGGGGATGGAAAATAAAATAACATATGGAATCACTTAATAATCAGGAAATGACGAGCAAAGATACAATTTTTAATAACAAAAATAACACAAAAACAAGTACGAAGCTTAAGGGGGTTGTGATAATTAAAGTGAAACCAGCAAGCACTTCTTTCGATTCAGAAAGCTTAATACATAAGCTGCTATTTCATTTAGTATACTCTTTCAAAGTGGAAACGCCTCAGAACAGAATTACCTGATATAGATGAATTCACTAAACTCTCAAAGGTACTTTCTCTAAAATTTGATGATCCCAAAAGAGTTGAAGAACAACAGATTTTGAATCGTTGAATCCAACATCTTGATCCAAGCATAAGATCTCTGTAGTAGGCTATACATTAAATAGATCCAGACACAAAGCGAACATACAAGTGTTGACAGCAACATTGTAAATTGCGCAATCGATAAGAGGTTTTGTAATCACAAGATGGCATAGCAAAAACTTTGGCCACACATTAGGGTTTATAAAAAAAGTTAAAAACTGTGCTTATGATCTAAATGGCAGGCCCAAAGAGGATTAACTGAGAATAATGAATACAAGTAGATTGTCCAAACCTAAATCAGAACAAATAGCGACAGATATAGAAATACCAATGGCCCTAGAGGTTCACAGAAAACAACTTTGTAGTACTTGTCTTATATAATGTACTGTAAAATAATGCTTACAACCTTTCAGCTTTGTGTTAAGGACATAAATCCTTATAAACTTGGATGCACTAAATTGTATGCAGATAACATACCGGGCTGAATTACTACAAAATGTGATCTACCAAAGCCTAAAGGGGTAAAGGTATGATCAAATAACCTCAACAAAATACTCCCTCCGTCCCATTTTATGTGTCTGGTTCGGTTAATGAGGCTTGACAAAAGTTATTTTTAATTCAATTTTTCATAATATTAAGTTCAGTATTAGTATACAAAATTTACATATTTAGAAACTACACTAAAAGTACTATTAAACACAAAAAATCAAATTTCAAAATAAGAAAAAAATACTAAAGAAAATAAAGAAACAAGAAAGAGTTGGTTTGACCAATGAATAGTAAGTAGGACAGATAAAATGGGACAGAGGGAGTAAAAGGTAATCACTGCCACTAATTTTTTGCATTTATTGCATACAAGAAAACACTCCCAGTACATTTCTAAAGTCAATAGTCCAATAACTAAAGCAGTACTAGGAAATCAATTCAATAAATCTCAAAATTTATGGCAGCCATCTTTTTTCTCTTAGTTATGTTTACATCTAAGAGGCTAAGATAAAATAGATGTGATCCTCAAAATTTGAACTCAAAACATACGTTTGGGAGCATTCACATTGCAAACCTCCAAATAAAGCAGATGAGGATAAACTATGTTAAATGCATTTCACATGAAACAAGTGTCCTCGGATTATTTCGCTAAAAGAGATATGGAGCATGAGTGCCATCACTCGTTTGGCAATTTATATCTTTTCTCCACCTTTACAAACAAAATTAATGAGCAGTTAAAACTTCACCATCCCAAGATTAATGTAATCAACAGCTTTCTTAATCAATTCAAGCCTATGAAAACTACTGCACCTGCTTCAACTTTATAAAGGAAACTCTTAAACTATGATCCTGCATTCTGGTTTAAGAGGTAATATTTGCCTTTACATGGCTTTAAAGGTTTGATAATTAATCATTTCAAAGAAACTCAAACTATAATGGGGATGAAGGTCATGAAAGCTTATATTTGTATATGAGAAATATTCTGATATATTTAAACTTTCAAGGAAGGCATAGGCTAACCTTGTATTACAAGTAATAAAAAAGAATGGATAATTAAGAACATAAAACAACAGTTAAGAAAGCAAAACGCTATTTGAAACACTTCCAAGTACGGAGAAAAGAAAAGGAGTTTGGTCTAGCGTTAAAAATGAAATTTATCAAGTCTTACATTCAAACACTTCTTTATCACCCATGGATAAACCTTGAAATTTATCATTTTACACATACGTAAAGACTGCCTAGCAGACACTCTAAGAAAAACTTTGCATGGCCATCATAACCTATATTAGGGATCCCCCCATCAGCACACCAAAAAATAAAATAAAAGGAGCTTGAGAAGCACCATTTCAAGCTAGTATAGTAGTATTGGCTGAGAGAGGAAGAAATCTTCCTGGTCCTAGTTTTATGTCAAAAACACAAAGATCAATTCTCACTGACAATTTAAGCAAATTTAATATTTTTAAAAAATAAACAAATTTTCTTCAAGTTTATGGTTGAAAAAATTATGAAACAAGGGAGGCAACAGAATAGGAGCCAAGAGTCTTGGTTCCCACCTTCCCGTGGCAAAGTAAGCACATTAGCAGTACTAGTAAGCCCAGGCTAAGATTGGTCAAGGAATCCTGCCATAACAAAGAAGGGAAAATAATTGGAGAAAAGGCAGAAAGAAGAATGTATATGATTTTTTTTTTCTTTTCAAGAAAAAGCAATATATCAAACTCAAAAGCCACAAGTTCCTCATAAGTCATAAGGACATTAAGGAGGAACCTAGACAACCCAAACACAAATTTTATCAGGGGCCAAAATGCATATATAATGTGGCTCAAGGAAATCCATAATCAGAAAAGTAGTTTTTTTTTCTTCAATTTTTAAGGTTATAGTTCAGAAAGCAGGGGATACTACCAATGCCAAATCAAGAGAAACGTATATAACTTCCAAACTACAAGAATATGAGGGAATATCTCACCTTTAACAAGAAACCTATCTTCCAGATCCATGTTGAGAAAAGCAGCTAAAAATGCCAATCAAACCCTCCCTGCAAAAGTCAAATGTTTATGCAGCATATCATTATATTTGCAAATTGGGTAGCTCAATGTATAGACATAAATACTTACTATGCCACTTATTTGAAATTTTCAAACAGTTTGCACTAATAGCAAAAGATTTCCCATACAATGTGATCATCAAGTTTGAGTGTTTGTCTGTTTGATAATATAATTCAATACAATACAATTGCCATAATTTCAAATTGTGAAGTTTCAAGTAATGCATACATTTTATATCAAGTGAAACCATAACATTTCAATAAAATCACCTCCAATAACATATATAATGCAGAACTGGTGTAAATAGGAATAACAAATATGAAGTAGAATGATAAAGATGCTTTTTTCCAGACTCTTACTAGGAGATTAAAGTTATTTTGCATTGAGCTTATATGAATTGAATGAGAGAGACATGTGGCCATGTCCCACAATGGCACCTCAAATGAATTTCCAAAAGACATTAAAAATAATAAAGTTAGATTTGATGTAAAAAGTCTAAATTTAAGTTATGGTTAAATTTTGATTCAATTGTGTCAGACGCATTCCGCTATATCTGAATCCAATGCCCAGCTCCAAACAACATGACTAGTGAAGATGGAACTTTATTTGGAGCAACCTGTTTCAACACATTAACAACAACTGCTACAAATTTGGAATTTCTTCATGCCCCCCTCCCCCATCCCCCCGGTTTTTCTGCCTGTAACTACAAAAGGCTCATGTTCACCAAAAAAAGATAAAATAAAATAAAACAAAAAATTGCACAGAGATTCAGCAAAATTGCCAAACTACTTGCTAATTGGCTAAAACAAACAAACAAACACTAAAAATTCCCTCCAAAGAGAAAAAGACCCCCATCCCAAGGTAATAGGTAGAACATATCAACACAAATACATTCATCCCTACATGCACTGGTTATATACCAGTTAAACCAATCAGGAATGACACTTGGCTTCAAGCTGGAAAATTCAATGAACCAACCAACTGTAAAGTATAGAAACCTACAAGAAAAGACCAAAAGACAGCAGCACAGACCCATAGACCCACATTTGGCATTTAGAGCAACCCCCACATTCTACAATTTCCTATCCAAATTCCATGAACAACCCAAGCAAAGCACACACAACAAACTCCGTACTCCAATCATCACAATCAAGGACACCTCCATAACTACGAGGTGCATATTCTACCTACGTAAAAATCCAAACTTTATCACAATATACCCAACAAAACATCAAGATACAAAAATCCCAGCAGCAGATCTGAAACTAAAGACATTCTGCGTATAAATGTCGATATATTAGCCACGGTATACACACGATACATGACGTCAAAGCAACACAGACGAGAAAATACCTGCGAGACGAGGAGAGACAAAAACCGGGGGAGAGAAAATTAGGGTTTTCAGGGAGGAGAGAAAACGAAGAGAGCGGTGGGTTTTGTTCGTTGGTTAATGATGAATGCAGAGAAGAAGAGAAAGAAAGAAAAAAAAAAATGGTAAGAAACGAAAGCTCCACCTATGTGATGTTTGCAGGTTGGAGGCTTTTCTTGGTTGTACTCTGAAATCTTGCACGCTTACTGGGCGCATGGTCACGCGTCCACACGGCGCGTGGAATATGGGGAGCAGTTAGGAAAACCGCAGTGGTTGATGCCTGGCGTTTAAAGTACAGCGCGCACTTGTCTGCTCCGTGACTTGCTCGTGAGTCTCACGCGTCTTTGTTGCGCGTGGATATAGACTGTCTGACGATTTTTCACTTCTGTAATTTCTTTTTTTTTTTTTTTGTTTGGGATTGGATCCCTTTGTATAAATATTTAGACTTTAACCACTAATTTTACTAGCTATTTAACTTTGATGCATTGAGTCGATAGCATTCAAAAAAAAAAAAAAAATTTGATGCCTTACTTACTAGCTACATGAAAAAAGAAAATAATATTTTCGTATCCAAGTAATGAATCTTTATTTGTGAAGAAAAAAATTAATAGTGTTATATTTGGAGACGAGTAATGTTTAGAAGCTGATTGGTTCAGGTTTACTTCATTATCAATTCTTTTTTTGATCGGTTAAACAATACATGAAAATATTATTTTGTCACGTACTAAATTAAATGATGTATTTTTTTAATCTCAACTTAAAGCTTAAGCTTACAGTAAAAGTATAAAACTACACATATATACATAGAATCAAAATAAAATGAGAATAGATTTTCATGTGAGAAATAAGAATAAATCTTGTTCTTTTGTTACAAAACTTTGAACAAAAAAAATATTTAAATAAATAAAAAAAAATTGCGATAATATATTTATAAATATGTATAACTTTCATTGCACTATCGGGAAGAAAAATAACATTAAGTGTATTGTTTTGTAAAATTTGCAAGAGTTTTTAAAAAATGTGTCATGCATAAGTTTGAGATAAACTCGCATCATTTTGTGAGAATCCACATTTTAGTCCAAACCTATATCAATTTGGCCTTACTAAACATGCATATTTTTAAGATCCAGAAGTCCAACACATAACATTATCCTAGGTGAATACTCATGATTTATTCATTCAAACTTCTACACATTTACATAAATCCACTACTTTTTTTTAAAGTCAAAATCTTTATCGATTTTTTTTTTTTCATGGATGAATGAGATTTATTCTTATTTTTCACAAGAACAACTATTCTAATGATATACAAATTTTAATTTCTAAAAACATAAAACTTGATTAGTCTTCGATATTAACTGAACTAAAACCAAGCGTTAGGGTATAGCACATTAGTAGTTTAGAAAACATTTTGATCATAAAAAAGAAAGTTGACTTTATCAACCATACAAAATTTAATCCTTAGCAAAAGATAGAAATAATTACAATACATTATTGGTAGTATATACTATATTAAATTGGTGTTGAGCAATTCAATTAAGCTTGGATTTTTGTAATGGGTGTCACTACAAAGAATATGATGAGCACCAGCTAAAAGTTGTAAAATAATAATATAGAATATTCATTATTTTTTCAATATATAATTTCCAAAGAATCTTTAGACCAAGTTGCCCCATGACTAAACATGGATGAGGTTGGAACTATACCCACACTGTTGTAGCACTTTCATTGGTCCCATTGGATATTTGGTTAATGACAAAAGTTGATATTAGTTGTGGAATTATGGGCATAATTATTGTTGTATGGGTTTTTATTGGTGAAATGACATCCCAAAATGTGAAAGATTAGTGTATGGTGGAGAATTGATGCCATTCCTAAGCACATTTTACTATGTAGAGAGTGAGTAATTGGGTACCTGAAAATGAAGCTGCACTCTAGCTATGTTACCCTTTTTGGCCCTTTTTTTTATTCTTTAATGGTCCTATCATCACTTTTTTTTTTTTTTTTTTTGGGTAGTGAATGTACTGTTTAGATTCATAAACAAATTCACACCCTTTTGTCACTAAAAGATATTATTCCAAGAACAATATCTCACATTCCTAATCAACCATTATAACACAGCCCAAGAGGTGAGCAAACTCCACTGACTATACCCAAAACATGAAAAGGAATTTGGTAAATGACTGTTAGTTGATTGGATTAATTAGACGGTATAACTAATTGATAATATTAGTTGATTGTAGAAAGGTGTTTGGTAAATTACGTGTTAGCTGATAGCTGTTTGGTATAATTTTTTTTGTCAAAAAGTTAATTGAAAAGGCTGCTTTGAGCAGCTTTTTGAATTTTAGCATTTTGGAGTTGATTTTTTTAACCAAATCAAACAATTAATAGTAGTCAAATAAGTCAAAATTGGCTGATAGGCTAATATTTTACCAAACAGGGCCATAGTAAGGATTGACCGACTGAGAGCTCTTTCGAGATTCTATGAGTGGTGGTGCATGGCCGTTCTTAGTTGGTGGAGTGATTTGTCTGGTTAATTCCATTAACGAACGAGACCTCAGTCTACTAACTAGCTATGCGAGGTATCCCTCCATGGATGACGGAGAATTAGGGTTCGATTCCGGAGAGGGAGCCTGAGAAACGGCTACCACATCCAAGGAAGGCAGCAAGTGCGCAAATTACCCAATCTTGACACGGGGAGGTAGTGACAATAAATAACAATATTGGGCTCAATCGAATATGCTAATTGGATCTAAATGGTTGATATTTAGTTTATCACTTTATCTTAATCAAACAAACAAGTGCATCACTAAATCCGAAAATTTGTACCTACTTTTGTCTAGAGTTTTGGTGAAGAAGTAAATCACGAGATGTATTTCAGCGGTCTTGAGTTTCTTATAGTAATTGTACATTGGGACTACGAGCAATGTAGTCTAGTAACTTTACTTTAGATTGGTCAATCAACTGAGCTTTGTTCAGGGTGAGAGTTTTCTTTTCTTATTAGTAGTACAAGTGTACAATCTGAATAACTAAACTTAGACAACTTAGTACAATAAACTAGTATGTTTTAATATCATATTCCCAACTTTCATCAAATACATATCTAGAAAACTCAACCTTAGCCCTCCCTAAAGGGTAAAGATTTGGCCAAGTTGCCAAAACACATAAACCAAAGTAAGAAAGGAATCTATTCATGGGAATACTGCCCTATTGCTAGGCTGCTAGCTGCCTGAGAATATTTTGAGAAAAAAATCATGTTTTATGCATCAATGGACAAGAATGAAAAGGATAAAACATTAAAACATAAACAGTACCCGACAAAATGAATCTGGAGAGGGAAGAAAGATGGAACTTGAGCAACAATTTCCGCCAAAGAAAACTTACTGCTTAGCTTTTGAAGTGGGAAACAAGTCTCTCCCACGACGCAACTGCAAGTCTGCAACTCCATCCTTTCCTCCAGTTACAATAATGTCCACCAACAAAAATGCTTAGCTTCTCTTCTGGGTGATGGCCTACAAGATTTCCACAACGCGACATAAATCTTATAAGGCTATCACTCTGAATATAGTTTTTTTACCAATAGTGACAATATCAAGAGCAAAAAAGCAAAGAAGGAACAGTTATAAAAGCAATATGACAAGACATGCATGGAATTTGATGAGTAAGCAAGCATTGTGGAAACCCCTTATGATGGGGCAAGTGCATAGTTTTTTTCAGAAACCAACAATTCCAAGACATTGGTAACTTTCTATGAAACTCAAACCAATGAAAGTAAATTTTAAAAAACTACATATCCTTTTTTCAGTTTTTCTCATTTTTCTTCCATAAAGAACTAGAGTTCTGTATTGCATTGTGTAGCAATACAATAATGCCCTATTTCATGGCAACTTCATATCCGTTTTCTCCTTTTCTTCCTATCTTTTAAAATTTTAATTTTTTTTTTTTAACTTCTTCCGCTTTTTTCCCCAGGGAAGATGAGGCCTCAATGACATCAGGCTCCAATAAAAGGACCCCACTTAATCATAACATTCATAAGTCATAAAACTAGCTTTTCTTCAAAAAAGAAAGTAGGAAAAAAAATGCATTTTTAAAGTGATTAGAGACCCAGATTAGCACAATGGCTTGGCAACAAACACCATTACACTCAGGACATGCTAGCAGTGTATCTTTGCTCTTCAGATAAATTGATTTCTAAAGTCCATTGTGCCATCTGCAGGTTAATTACAAGGAAAGATGGGGTTAACAAATGAGTGAAAATGGTGTTAACCCTCCAAACTTCTTTACTTGGCATATTGAGCATTATTTCATAGTGACAAAACAAAGTTCTG